TACATTGAGAATTATGCTAGGTAGCATTCCACATCAAAATTTTCTTTTTTTTATCATTTACCTACTCGAGGACGAGCAGGAATTAAGCTTGGGGATGCTTGATACGTCTCCAACGTATCTATAATTTTTTATTGTTCCATGCTATTATATTACCTGTTTTGGATGTTTATGGGCTTTATTTTATACATTATTATCATTTTTGGGACTAACCTACTAACCGGAGGCCCAGCCCATATTGTTGTTTTTTTGCCTATTTCAGTATTTCGAAGAAAAGGAATATCAAACGGAGTCCAAACGGAATGAAACCTTCGGGAGCGTGATTTTTAGAACGAACGTGATCCAGAGAACGTGGAGTGCAAGTCAAGAAACAACCGGAGCCTCCACGAGATAGGAGGGCACCCCCCCCCTTGTAGGGCGCGCCCCCCTATCTCGTGGGCCCCTCAGGCGTCCACCGACGTACTTCTTCCTCCTATATAAGTCTACGTACCCCGAAAACATCCAGGAGCCACCTGAAGAAATATTTCCGCCACCGTAACCTTCTGTATCCGCGAGATCCCATCTTGGAGTCGTCGGCGGCGTTCTGCCGGAGGGGGGATCCACCACGGAGGGCTTCTACATCAACATCCTTGCCCCTCCAATGAGTTGTGAGTAGTTTACATCAGACCTACGGGTCCATAGTTATTAGCTAGATGGCTTCTTCTCTCTTTTTGGATCTCAATACAATGTTCTTCCCCTCTCTTGTGAAGAACTATTCGATGTAATCTCTTTTTGCGGTGTGTTTGTCAAGATCCGATGAATTGTGGGTTTATGATCAGATTTATCTATGGATATTAATTGAATCTTCTCTGAATTCTTTTATATGATTGAGTTATCTTTGCAAGTCTCTTCGAATTATCGGTTTGGTTTGGCCTACTAGATTGATCTTTCTTGCCATGGGAGAAATTCTTAGCTTTGGGTTCAATCTTGCGGTGTTCTTACCCAGTGACAGAAAGGGTTGCAAGACACGTATTGTATTGTTGCCATCGAGGATAACAAGATGGGGTTTATATCATATTGCTTGAGTTTATCCCTCTACATCATGTCATCTTGCTTAATGCGTTACTCTGTTCTTATGAACTTAATACTCTAGATGCATGCTGGATAGCGGTCGATGTGTGGAGTAATAGTAGTAGATGCAGGCAGGAGTCGGTCTACTTGTTGCGGACGTGATGCCTATGTACATGATCATGCCTAGATAACGTCATAATTATTCGCTTTTCTATCAATTGCTTGACAGTAATTTGTTCACCCACCATAAAACTTATGCTCTCGAGAGAAGCCTCTAGTGAAACCTATGGCCCCCGGGTCTATCTCTTATCATATTTGTTTCCAATATACTTTTATTTGCATCTTTATTTTCTGCATCTATATTATAAAATACCAAAAATATATTTATCTTATCATATTATCTCTATCAGATCTCACTTTCGCAAGTGGCCATGAAGGGATTGACAACCCCTTTATCGCGTTGGTTGCGAGTTCTTTGTTTGTTTGTGTAGGTTTGTGGGACTTGTTGAGGAGCGTCCTACTGGATTGATACCTTGGTTCTCAAAAACTGAGGGAAATACTTACGCTACTATGCTGCATCACCCTCTCCTCTTCGAGGAAAACCAACGCAAGCTCAAGACGTAGCAGCCCCTCCTGCCTTTCCCTCTCATGGGAGAAACGAAAGGGGGGAGCGCCACCCTCCCATGCCTTTCCCCGCACTACAAATAAGGAAGGGGGGCACGGCTTGGGAGGGACCTCCAGTAGGATTCCTCCTACTTGGGGCCTCCTTTGGCTGCACCTCCCTCCCTCCCACCTATATATATGTGGGAGGGGGGCACCCAGCACACAACAGACAATTGCCTAGCCGTGTGCAGCGCCCCCTTCCACCGTTTACACCCCAGGTCATATTTTTGTACTGCTTAGGAAAACCCTGCGGATATCACTTCACCATCACCGTCACCACGCCATCGTGCTGACGGAACTCACGTCTTGCTGGATCAAGAAGGCGAGGGACGTCACCGAGCTGAACTTGTGCAGAACGCGGATGTGTCGTCCGTTCGGTACTTGATTGGTTGAAGCGTGAAGAAGTTCGACTACATCAACCGCATTGTAAAACGCTTCCGCTTACGGTCTACGACGGTACGTAGACACACTCTTCCTCTCGTTGCTATGCATCTCCGTGGATAGATCATTGCATGTGCATAGATTTTTTTTTGTTTTCCATGCAACGTTTCCAACACAAACATGGCAATGTGTCCTGTAGTCGAGGTTCACACAACAACACTAAAGGAAGAACAACACAACACATCATCAAAACATTGAACAAAAACCAACGACTTCACTTGATTACTTATAACAAGATTTCTCCCATGTCCTCAAGGACGAATGGAACTACTCACAAATCATATTCATGTTCATGATCAGAGGAGAATAATATATAATTAACAATCTGAACATATAATATTCCTCCAAGTAAATCAACTAGCATCAACTACAAGATATAATCAACACTACTAGTAACCCACAGGTACCAATTTCAGGTTTGAGACAACGGTTGGATACAAGAGATGAACTAGGTTTGGAGAGGAGATAGTGCTGGTGAGATGTTGATGGAGATGAGTTCTCCCATGATGAGAGGAACATTAGTGATGATGATAGCTTCGATTTCCCCCTCCTGGAGGGAAGTATCCCCGACGAAATCGCTCTGTCAGAGAGCAAAAATGCTCTTGTCCAGGTCCCGCCTCAAGATGGCGGCGCTCCGTCCTGAAAGTCTTCTCTTGAATTTTTTTTCTAGAGGAAATGACTTCATATAGCGGAAGATGGACATCGGTGGACCTCTGTGGGCCCCACAAGCTCATATGGTGCGCCCCAGGGGCAAATGACTTCACATTTTCAGGTTATTTGGAGCTCTGGAGAATAGCTATCTCTATTGTAGCTCTTTTAAGTTTCAAAATTCTAGCCGCCGGCAATCTCCCTCTTGTGATGTAACTTGCAATTTAAGAGAGAAAAGGCATTATAATGGCATTAAACAGTGAAATATAAGTTTAAAACAATAGAAATAATAGTAGAAAACATGATGCAAAATGGACGTATCAAGCGCCAGAGTTGGTTCGTCGGCCAACAAGCCTACTTAATGGAGGCATACGGACGGACAGGCATTGAATGGGCGTGGTAGATATTTGCCCCGTCCCGTACAACAAACGTCACTCCGACATTGAACAGTCGCGGACACCGGGGACGTGGCGCAGGCAACTCTCTCGACCAGCGCGACTCTTCATGCCGGCGCCAGTGAGAGGTCACGTCCGCTCTGGGTGTGCGTCTTGCGGAGCGGCCTCTCTACAGCGGTATGAATGCGGGCAACTGCCGCCAGGTGGGTACGCACGCAGGTGAGAGAGAAGGGTTTTGGATGGGCCAGGGCATTCAAGAGCGGGCGTGGCAGCGTCCGGACGCCCGCAAAGCACCCCCCCCCCCTCCCTCGTTTGTCCTGGGTTTGCGGGACAAAGTGCGGTTGGGCTGCCGAACGGACTGATATAGGACCGTGTTGGATGGCAGAACACGTCCAGACCGCCGGTTCAGATGTATGCGGGCGGTTTGAGGGTCCGCGTTGGAGATGCCCTTACTTGCTAGTACTTTGCGCTACTTATAGTGTAGGCATGCATTCATCCTACCTTACACCAAATAAAAGAGCCTTTTAATTCTATGATGATCACCTAACCTCTCAGGCATTCCTAGCTAAAAACTAAACACTCTAACAAATAGTGGCAACCTTAAGTACACGAGCCAAACATACACTTAATAATTTCTCATGCCTCTCATCAAAGTTCATCTCATCTCATACATGCATGTTAGCCAACTTTAAATCTTCTTTTAACAATAAGAGGATGCTTAAATCTTAATACCACCACTGAGTAGTAGTAACCTGGGGCGACTTATTGCAACATGAAATCAAGCCAACACTAATGTTCATGTTAGAAGAGATCCTCATGGATTTATTTGACCAAATTTCATGGAAATGCCTAATTTTCTCACGCATCACCCTTCACTCAACGTCTATGCAACATTGTTGATCGATCATCAATGGGTCACTCACTTGTACACACATAACAGAAAAAAAGAACAGAGTATGTGAACATATATTAGGACGATCTGGAATTTAAGTTAAATGAAATGAGAAATGGATATTGTTCTAGAGCGACTCAACAGTGATTCAGAGCCGATCGATGGGGACCGGGTTGCACGTGTGCCTGAGCAGCATGACCACCTCAATGAACTATCTCACGCCCAACAAGAAATCGTCGATGAGTTGCTTCTATGAGAGGGAGGGGGCATCAACCCTCTTCGCGCTACATTGCTATACATGAGAAGGGGGCTATGTTGGGGAAAGTATAACAAAGGATATATGCATGATTACATGTCATTTTTGCCTATATGGAGGAGAGAGACAAAAAATGAGTGTGCTCTCATCAATGTTAATTATTTCATGAGACAAAAAATGACTAGCTAAACACCAAACACTATGACAAACAGTGGCAACCTTAAGTACACCAACCAAACATACACTTAATAATTTCTCATGCCTCTCATCAAAGTTCATCTCATCTCATACATGCATGTTAGCCAACCTTAAATATTTTTTTAAAAATATAAGAGGATGCTTAAATCTTAATACCACCACTGAATAGTACTAGCAACATGGGGCAGCTTATTGCAACAGGAAATTAAGCCAACACTATTGTCCATGTTAGAAGATATCCTCACTAAAATAAGAGTAACACAAGACGCTCGATTAGAAGCTATAGTAGATCCACATACTGACCAAAGCAAAATATACTAGCAGCTAGCTATATATAAGGACTTTTTTTCCTTGTAGCAACTAGGTAGAGATAACTATAATTCGCCTTGCCCAAATTCTCCCGCGCGGCGCCCTTGACCCAAGACGTACACAGGCATCGGCGATCGATCTTCAGCGAGTCTCACATCTGCACACGAAAAAAAGTGTAAAAACAGAAGGTGTAGAGATCAATTAAAATGTAAGCGGTAATGGTACAATTAATTAGTGGTTGGTCAATTAATTTGGCTAGTGAAGGCGAGGGCACGTAGACAGAGAGAATGAGTGGCACGTACCAGGACGTAGTAGCAGGCGCCGTTCTGGAGGGGCTCGGCGGTGACACCGGCCCCGTCGACGGGGATTGCCTCGCCGGTCTGCCCGAGCATCACGGCCGCCGGGCCGAACAGCGCCTTCACGTCCATGCGCACCATCGCCGGCACGCTGTAGCATTGCACGGGGGCGCCCGGCCGCCCGGCGGCCACGGTCACTACCGTCGCCATTGGCGTCGGCGCGCCTCCTCCGGCCAGCAGCCCGGCGTCCAGGAGCCCTGCTCCACCGCAAAACAGAAGTACCAAAAATTAATCTAACGTGAAACCACTGCAACAAAAAGCTGCCACGATTTATGACCTGCGTATACGATCGAGAACCGAACCCTATGGATGCATATGTGTGTATGCAGTGCAGGAGGAGATCCAAGCAGGCAGGCAGAGGCATCTTCTTCTGACCCGGAGGTGCCATGCACACGTCCAATCTCGGAAGCGACGCCACCATTGTGATGCGAGAAGGATTCAAGAACGAAGCTACAGCTAGCATTCAAGTGCCCTGCTTGCTTGCTTGGAGACCGGGCTATCTATCGGAATCGGAGTAGCAGTTTTTTGACCGCCGTCGCTTCAATCCTCTCGACAACGTACGCGCGCCAATTAAACCCTCCCGATCGATCGGTGCATCCATCAGACGTTTCGCACGGCTTGGGAAGAAGCTCTGCCGTGACATGACTATACAGGCAGATCGATCAGTAACTGTTCTCTGAAGATACCCGCCTGCGCGCGTTCCCTGGGATCCCAAGCCAGTGCCAGCTTTCGTGCTGGAAAGAATCGCGCACAATGATGGATGCAAACAATGTCTAGGATCTATGGGAGGGAAAAGCAGAAGGAAAATAGAAACGCTGTCTTTCCTAGGTTCATGCAGGATGATGAAACAAAAGCATTGCCCTCAATTCATAGGAGAAGTGGAGAACAAACGTAGTGTCCCTATTCTTTCATTTGATTCAAATATGTGGAACATGGGGCAAATAAATAGAAAGAATCTTCCTTTGTTTGAGTTTTGAAAGAAAAGTAAAAAGAAAATATACTATCTGCCCAAACATATACTCCCCCGTTTTATGTACTCTGCATATTTAGCTTTGGCCTAAGTCAAACTTTATAAAGCTTGACCAAGTTTCGCGAAAACAATCTATACTTTCATAATAACCAATATATATTGTATGCAAATATATTGAATGATGATTCTAACGGTATTGATTTGGTATTGGCGATGCTCATAGTTTTTTGTTTAAAGTTGGTCAAAGTTTGCAAAGTTTGACTCGAGACAAAACTAATATGTGAAGTAAATAAAAACGGAGGGAGTATTTTTTTTTGTTTTGCATTCCTATTGAGAAAAAACAAAGCAAAGGCCATAGATTTCATACTAATTAATCTTACTTTTGCATATGTTCTTACGTTGATTTCACTACACTTTATAGGATTCATGTGTTTTTCCTATTATCGGGAACCAATGTTAGTTCCGTGAAATTTATATATTTCTTGCAACTATCATATATTGTGCTCGCGCATTAATTCCTATCATGTTCTTGTGCTATCCGCCTAGGCCTACGTTTTTAGAATCCTGCAAGGCAGAGCTTAATTTGTCATATAGTAGTCCCATCTTTTTCTTCTTTTGCATGAACATGCTTGAACTACTAGTACTAGCAGATTTTCGCCTAAACTTCTTGCCAAGTAAATATATGTAGCTATAATAATAGTAACAATTTCCACTATATATGGATGATTTGATGCTTTCCCATCAAGCTAGAAAATGAAGTACACAATTTCAAAAACAGAAAAGAAAATGAAGTACACGCATGGATCGACACGTCGCTTGGCTCACAACAACCATGTCATGTCCGCGTCCCTACGGGCACCAGCTCACAATATTTTGGCACATTCAAGTTCCTACAGTTGGGAGAGCTGACAGGTTCCCCTATCCTTGACATGGAAGTGTCCCTGTGCAGGCGTCAACAACAGCATGCACATACTCACAAAGCCATGACAGGATAGGTCTCTCTTGTACATGGCCTAACCTTGTCTCCTTGCCTGCAGCATGCTGGGTCTTTGGTACGCACCACGCATGCATGCATCCGATCGATCGATTGGAGCTATGTACTCCGTATGTGTGTACGTACGTACCATGCATGCAATGAAATGCAAGCTACTCTAGTGCTATGCAGCGGGAAAGACATGTCATCGTCCGTGCTAATCTATCGATCTACGTGCCGTGTTGTACTCTGTGATGGAAGTGGCAAGTACTCGCCTTTCTCCATTGGTGTCAAGCTCCGCTAGAGCCAAGCTTTGCATGCATGCAGCAGGTAGATCGAGACAGTGACAGGGCAGGCGCAGCAATGCATGCACATGCTAAGCTCTGACAAATTATCATGGTGTACCGTACGTGTGTGAGCAGGTAGCAATGCATGGTGGATTATGGATGGAATGATGAAAACGTGCTACGTAGGAGTACATTCAAATTACTGGCTCATGAACAGTTGAGCGTAGTACCTTGCAGCTGATCGGTGAATGCAGAGCTTGCGGCGGCGTTGCCGGTAGGCGGAATGCATGGGAGGACGGCCGCACTGACGTCCGCGCCGGCGGTGGCGCCGAGGCCGTAGTGGTGCAGAAACCCCAGCCTTGCCTTCTCGTCCTCCTTAATCACGGCGCTCACCGGGTCGGAGGGTGGATCCACCGCGACGTTGAAGTGGTACTGGCCGCCGACGCCGAGACCCAGCTTGGAGCAGCTCATGTCGTCCACGATCTCGTGCTGCCCTAACACCGAGTCGGTGCAGAGGCCAGACAGGAGGAGCGCGCCAGGGGAGACCGCCGTCTGATGCGTGTGGGCATGCGAGCCGAGGAAGCCGCCGAGCTCGGTGGCCGGCAGGTACTGGCTCTGGCTCTGCGGCGGCCACTGCAGGAAGAGCGGCGGTGGCTCGGGGGTGGAGGTTACCAGCTCGCGCACCGGCGTCGACGTCGGCATCGACGTCATGGGAGGGTTCTGCAGCTGGTAGTAGAGCTGGCACGCGGACAGCCCAGGCGACGGTGTCAGTGGTGGAGCCGGGGCGAACAGGTCGATGGCGGCGGTCGACAGAGGCAGCATCGGCTGGGACAGGGAGGCTGCCGCAGCAGACGCCATGGCCGTCGTTTTCATGGTCACCGACCTGCTGGATCCGGAGGAGCGGTCGGAGGAGGAGGATGACGAGGATGTCGGCGCCTGGAGCGTGCCGGACGGCGCGAGGAAACGCCTCGGCGGCGTCACGGGAGCCGGCGCAGGCGTCCTCACCGCTAGGGACGCGCGCATCACGGCGGCGCGGCCGCCGGTAGGATGTTGGCCCTGGGCAGCAGCTGCGGCCGCGGCGGCGCGGAGCTTGTTCTTGGTGCGGGACTTGCGGTTCTGGAACCAGTAGAAGACGTTGGCGTCGGCGACGTGGCCGTACTCCTGGAGACGGAGGCGGATGCGGCGGATCTCGTCGCGCGGAGGGTTGACGACGCCGGAGTTGAAGATCCCCTCCAGGATCCTGATCTGCTCCGGCCGGGGGTTCCACCGCGACTTCGTCTCCCCCGGGCTCCTTGTGGTCTCCTGGTCAAGCCCTGCCATTTAGCATCCACAAACTGATCAGATCAATTCCCCAACAAACCCTAGCTCCTCTACACGCACACAGATCATGCAACAAGCTAATAAAAAACATGATATCCCGATGCAAAATTGCAAAACATGCGAGAGGACTACGGATGGCGACGGCGGCGACATATACCTGAGGAGATCAAGGAGGGTCTGGTGTGGGTGTTGCTCATGTCAGGCTGGTGGTGGAAGTCGCAGGCAGCAGGGTTGGACCTGAACATGCTCGGCCAGTGCTTGTTCGAGGACGCCATGGGTGAGCTAACGAGCTGTGATCAACGATGTGATCTGAGAGTGGTAGTTACTTTGATCTGTGGAGGAGCAGTAGGCCGGGGAAGAAGAAGAAGAACCCTATGGATCTGGTAATGGCTCTCCCCTCCTCATCCTCAGCCGCTGCTTATAATGGCGTGGCGCCCTTGCGGCCTTGCCTCAGCTACCTACCCCAGTCTGTGAGCAGTAGTTAATGTCACCACCCATGTCATCCTTCCGTTTGTTTTGCTCCCTTGGACTTGGGCATGGATCCATGTGTGTGTGTGAATGGGATGTGGATGTAGCAGTAGGCTAGTATATCACAGTTGCATAGGGAGGGGAGGAATATTAAAGGGTGGTAGACTGGTAGTACTACTAGTAGTCCTACTGCTCATTACTCATGGATGGGTGCTTTGCTTGCTTGAGATTGACTGCACACTGTTGAAGTGTTGAAATGGAAGAAGGTGCACTCACTGATTTGATTCTCCCTAGATTGCCTAGCAAGGAATGCATGCATGGCATGCAAAAGTACTGCCTTTCTGCATGGCCTTGTATTAGCGGTACTAGTAGTAGGAATTTTGCACCGGAGACTATGATGTGGGCATACTGATTACACTAGTAATGATAAAGTAACACATGGTCAAACCATATAAGTTAGGGCTTGTTTGGTTCATAGGAAAAGTATACAAATGGGAAAAAAAATCTCTAACGAGATTCGTTCGTTCGGTTCAAAGGAATGGAGCAACAAAAAAGTAGAGACGGAAAATAAGGTATATGATCTCACTTTCAATGGTGAAAGGCAGGAATTTTACAATTCCTACTCATAAGGTAAGATCCTAGCTAGAGTCCACGGAGGCATAATCTTATAACATGTTAATTATACTTTTTCAAGTAATTTAACTATGATTTGACTGTGTTTATATGTTTTCCTAGCCCTATGAACCGAAGACCCAAGTTGACAAAATTCTTGTGGTTTCAACCTTTTATTTTGTGATTACATTCCTGCATTTTTTTACTATTAATACATTTCAAACATGCTTGCCGTAAAAATAGAGTGACTATGGTTTAGTTAGTTTTAAAAATATTAGTTATTTCTCGTTCAATTATCAATAGTCGCCCGAGCAAGATATTCTTGTCATTTCGCACATGCATGAATCCCTTATGCACCTAGATCAAATGGTTCTTGGTGATGACATTCAAGTAATTGATTGTTAGTCACCTCCAAATTAGAAAAACTACCAAAATAACATAAAGTAGTAAAATGAACTACAAAAAGAAAGATCTTATATTTTGCAAGAAATATTAAATGAATCACACATGGTGATGATAACTAAACGTGTTGTCGCCTTTGTGTGTGCATTATGCATTGAGCTATAGCTCAATGCCATTTTGTTAAAATCCATGCTCGCTTTTTCGGAAATGTATTAACATGGTTTCAAGAATTCAAAAATACAAGTCGGACCAATATTTTCAAAGGAATAGTGGAGAAAAAACTTAGGATCCTGTGGTAACAACATTCATTCAAAGGAATGGTCATAAGAAACTGCATGGATTTTTCCTTTGGTTTGGATTTCATAGGAAAAACAAAGGAATTTTAGGGCATGTTTGGTTCGCATGATTTACGAAACACATGAATAGGAAAAACACATAATGGGAGTGACATGTCATGTCGAATCCTATAGGATTAATAAACCACGGGAACTTCGAACAGTGAGTGTTTGATGCCACAGGAAAAAAAAGGAATTGTGCAAAGAGGTTCGAGTGGATGAAAATTTCCGTCAAAATAGAATAATGCCAAGCAATCCTTAGGGATTTTATGTAAGGATTTCAATCATACGATCATACAACGTGTGTACGAAAAATCATTAGGATAAGAATCCTCTAAAATTACTATAAAGTTCATTTGAATCTTATGAATTGTAAAGGGAGTTTGGAATGGATGAAAAATATCCTCGAAAATAGAGTGCAAAGCAATCCTTGCCTTTTTTTCGTAGGTGCTTGGTTTGATTCATAGGATTGGAATCCTTAGGAAATGTTCTCTTTTCCTAAGAATTGCTTTGCACTCCATAACAAAGGAACCCAGAAAATATAACATTGATCTAATCTTACCTTTGCATGTGTTTTAATTTAAATTTGATCGTGTCTTTTCGGATTCATGCATGTGTTTTTCCTATTCCTGCACATCAAACACACAATTATGCAAATTCCTTTGTTTTCACAATCATAGTCTTGTGCTCATCATGTTCCCATGTTTTAACAATCCTGTGAATCAAAGAGGCCCTAAGTGCTTGTTCGATTCATAAGAAAACTAGAAGAAATGTATACAAATAGGAACTTTTTTATTTAACAACATTATTCATTCCATTGTTCAAAGGAGTGGTGTAAAAAGGTAGGGAAAAGAAATCTTTGATCTCACTTCCAATGTTAAATGGCATGAATTTTACAATTCCTATGCACGAGGTATGCGACTGGACTCTACATTGGCATAATGTTATACTCCCTCCGTTCCATAATGTAGTGCCTATAGATTTTTACAAAAGTCAAACATTACAAACTTTGACCATGTATATAGAGAAAAGTAGGTACATCTAGAATACCAAATGCATCTCATTGGATACATCGTGAGTGATATTTTCAAAATATACATGCTTGGTATTGTAGATGTAGACAATTTTCTCTATACACTTGGTCAAAGTTGGCAAAGTTTGACTTTTACAAAAATCTATAGGCATTACATTATGGAATGGAGGGAGTACTAACTTGTTAATTATACTTTTTCACTTGGTTTTACTATGCCTATATTTAGTAGGATTCATGTGTTTTACTATCCCTATGAGCCAAGCACTCAAGTTCTTACATGTGCTCTCGATGGGGAATTAGGGGAAGAAATGTTGTAGTCAATGACAAGAGGGCCTACATGTAAAGAAAAATACGAAGGCCCATTATGATGACTCCGTGTTTGCGGTTTGCCTTGGCAACCTCCATATCCATATGAAGCATGCTCCATATGCGGTATGGAGGCTGCCCATAAGAATACTATTAAAAGTTGCTCTTAGCAGAGTCGCCATATGGGCTATGGAGTGCGCTCCTTATGAATATGGAGGCCGAGGCGGCTATGCACAAACACATAATCGCCAAAATGGAAGCCTCCGTATTTTTCTTACATGTGCGCCCCACTTTGTCATTCAGACTTTAATTCAGTTTCATTCCCTGCCTCAACAATGGAAGTTTTTGTGCCATATTTCAACATCGATTTTCATTAGAATTTCAACATGGATTTATAAAATTGATTTGGAGAAGGATTACAACTAAGATTCAATGTTATTTGAACTACATGCATTTCCTCCTCTTCAAAGTGACCTCGTAGGTGGGAGGAGGGCTTCGCCTGCCACGACTTCCACCATGTGGCCGACGAACGCAGTGCGTCCTGGATGCGGGATAATGCCACATCAACCTTAATAATCTTCAAGGCCGGCGTGAGCACGACGTCCATTTCTGCCTTGGCGGCCACCGACATGCAGTCGAATTACTCGAACGAGGCGCGTAGGCGGGCGTGGCCGACAGCTGATTGAGCCTTACGGTGCAGGTCGTCCTCGACCCACTTGGAGTAGTGTCACACCCTCTTCTAGATTATTCTCTTAGTGTTGTCTCCCGCCTGCTTGCGACGGGTCTATAGGGAGGGCGCGCCCGCACAAACATGGTTGATGGGGTTTAGTGTGGCGGCAATGTGGAAGGTGGAAGAAAGCGGCGAGGTGGTGTCCGACGAAGGGGGCGATGGGGTGATCATGGCGGCGACGGGGAAGGAGGAAGAGAAGGGCATCTGGTTGCATCGGAAATTAAGGGGGCGATGGGGGTCTATATACCCGCAAATGTGCACGCTCTAGCGGGAAACAAGGGTGGATTTTTCAACCGAGATACCATATTGACGACTCAGTCTTGCTAAGGCTTAGTCGACTAAGACTTCGTTAAGTCTCAGTCGATGCTATATCCATAAAATTTACATTGAGATCAATGCAAAAAATATTGTTTTAGTTTTTTCTTTTTCTCTTTTGCATGTTATGTCACTTGACTGAGATCTAGCCATACTCTTGACGATTATTATGTTGATGAGCTCGATATGACGACTCTATAGAGTTGCTCTTACTTCACCCGAGTTCGACCCACCACCAGGCCTGCCAATGTCAACTTTTGTTTCTGAATCGCTGAATGGCATTTCCAGTTGAGCGTTGGAGGACATCGATCAGTTTTGCGTTCTCCTCCCTGGTCGCGCACGTACGGCCTCG